TTGCATGTTTGAAGTTTTTGTATGTTGACCTTCTGAGTGGGAATACCTTTTTAGAGTTGTTATTATCTGCTAATGCAAATTCCTTTTTTGGAAACAAAACAAAACAAATCCCTCATCTAGTTCTTATGAACTAAAACAAGTGAATAATGTAACACATTTCATTATTTTGTGCTTCTGTTATGATATCATTTTTAGTTGCATGTTTGAAGTTTTTGTATGTTGACCTTCTGAGTGGGAATACCTTTTTAGAGTTGTTATTATCTGCTAATGCAAATTCCTTTTTTGGAAACAAAACAAAACAAATCCCTCATCTAGTTCTTATGAACTAAAACAAGTGAATAATGTAACACATTTCATTATTTTGTGCTTCTGTTATGATATCATTTTTAGTCCTAGTACCACAAGCAATATAGAGCTTCTCTCTTTCATTGTTATGGAGCATGGGAGCACAATGCCACTGCCTACCCTTCTTTACTACCATTGATATGTAAGCATGAGGCATATTTGTCCCATCATCTGATGATTCCTGGTTATGTGTCGACATAGGTCACTCAATTTCTTTTATCTATCTACTATGGTGGTTAAGGATTGCAAAATTGTGAAGTCAGTTCCTGATTTTCTTTTAGATTTGTAGAATGTAAAATGAAATGCAACTGGTGACGTCGTATCTGATACATCTTCAAAAGAAAGGAGAAGATAATAGATTTAATCAACAACAAAATATAGAACAAAGAGAAAGAAAAAATGTATGATAGATGGCGGCAACCTTAATATCAAAGAGGGTGGTTGATGGAAGGCTGAGAGCTAAGTTCCATGGAAACAGGTACGAGTACTAGTACGAGCACAGGTACGGGACATGAATAATCTGTAAGAGGTAGAGTATGAGGACCCTGCTACATATATGTCTGTATATGTATATTTATATGTCATAAAATTGGTAACTTACATGATGAGATCAATATTCATCTCATGTTATGGCATTTATAATCCGTAACATTTTTATGTTTCTATTTATGTAGATTATAAATTGGAAACGGCTCGTTTTTAAACTAGATATCCAAATGACCCTTTAAAATCATAGTTCTTAACTGGGTATGCACTGAAATGAACATGACCCATGTCCATTAATTTTCAAAAAGTTAATGTCCAGTGTAGGATATACGTCCAATAAATGTATGATGAGTGTTTTGAATTAAAACATGTATTATATAATTGATGATAAATAGGCTTTCTACATATGCATCGTCCAAAACAACTATTTTTATCAGCTGTAGCAAGGAAACAAGCTTCATGATAACAAAAAAAAGGAAGAAATAAGTACGGCCTACATACTATACTCTATGGATAAAGAAATAAAGGATCAAATTGATAAAGAAAGCACCGTAAAAAGTGTCCATGAAGTTTGGGTGTGCGGGTACAGGCACGGGTATGGCTTCAGATAGAAGTTCCCAGGTAACATAGGCTAGTAACGTGTCCCTAAATTATTAATGAAAGGTTGGCATAGGCATGCAATTCTTGCTCTCATGTAATCCACACAATTTTTTAATTAAAATCTACTCCCAGTTCACTACAGCCAATAAAAATGATACATATGCAATGTATTCACTTACTCAGAAACCACAAGGTTATAAAACAAAATATACAAATTGCATGAGAAATATGCAAAGTTAATAATCAACTATATGGATGTCCATATGCTAAAACCCCCTTTTATTTTTGGTCAAATGCATTATTCTTGTGTTCCTAATATCTACTTATGTTGATGAGCCAACATATCAATAATATAAGGTCCACTCGTCTGATTCTTTTCCCATATTTCCATTGGAAAACCTTTAGGCATTGCTGGGGCCTCTTATATTCCTACTGTACAAGCAGCTTTACCTCGCCTGCTAGGCGCTGCTGCTCCACCTGGACCTGGTGCTCAAGAGAATCGTCGCCAATGCCTTAAGGTAATTGTACTTCCTGTGCCCTATTGTATGGTCCTTGTTGATTCTGATAGAGAATTTAACTGGTCTTTAGGTTCTTCGCTTATGGCTTGAAAGGAAGATTCTTCCTCAATCGGTTCTTCGCCGTTATATGGATGACATTGTGGTTGCAAATGATGACATGAATGCTGGACTTTTGCTAAGGCGCCCATCACGAGCTGAACGTTCTATTGATGATCCCATAAGAGATATGGGAGACATGCTTGTAGATGAGTATGGAAGGTAACTTATTCTACATGATTTATTTATTTATTTCTTAGCTTCATGTACATTGTCATTCCCTTGCAGTGAAAGAGGTAGTTCATAAGTATGCAATCTTACAGCTCTGAGGGTACATCATTAACATTTATATCTCATGATATTTTCTACCTGATGCTATTGTTATGTCTACCTACTATCCAGCTAGGCTTTTTCAATTTGGGGAATCCCTCTCTTACTTGTAGGTTCCTTGTTTGAGAAAATTGCACAGGCGCATAACGAGTTTATGACTGTTTTACTGAGCTATAAAACTTGGTCCATACTTCTCAGGAGAGTTATTGTCTTGGAGTTCTTTTAAGGAGGTCATATTTCTGTATGGGGAAGGGCTTAGATGATGATATTAATAATTACTCCTTTTTCTCACAAAACTGCTGCAGTTTTCTTAATATATTTTATCTCACTATGAATTGCCCTTAGAAATCTAGTCCCCTGACTTGATTTCTACATATTTTTAAAGTATTAATCTTAGCTTTCTGGCACCATTTTAATATATTTGTTCTATTCTCTCAGCAATACAACTTTTCAGCTACCTGGATTATTCCCTCATGTTTTTGAAGATGAAGATGATCTTTCCAACGATCTATGTGTGGATAATGGGAATCAATCACTGGTCGAAGCTGGCAATGCTCTGGAAGAGTCGGATACATTTAATGTAACTCTAAGTGACAAATGCCATTGTGTGTTAAAGGATGTGGATGGTGAACTTGAAATGGAAGATGTCCCTGCAACTCCAAAAGACGAGAAAGTAGCACAAGAAAACAATACCCTTAAGTTGGATTGTCAGCATCAACATCTCAGTCAAGCATTGGAGATGAAGTCAAGCAACCAATATGTTTTTCCTCCATTGCCATCGGATCCTCCACCGCTAACAAATTCTCCACCTCCACCACTACCTTTAGATTCTCCACCACCACCACCTCCGTTGCCTCCTTCTCCCCCTCCCCTTCCACCTCCATCATCACCTTTGCCACCTCCACCACCATCACAACCACCCCTTCCACCATTCCCACCTCCAGCAGTACTGCCTCTTCCATCTCTTCTAAATCCACCTTTACCACCTACATCCCCACCACCTTCATTGTACCTTCCTCCTGCTCATGACTACTGCAGAAGCCATAGTGTAAGTTGTGCTAGTTTTTTATTGATCAAGTGGATATCACTTTTTCTTTCTGATCTTGATCTTGGTGCAGGACTACCAACGAGGGGAGACCAACCCAAATGCTGGTTTCCAGGCACATAGTAATGCTGCTGTTAACAGTGATGTGGTTTTTCAGCAGCAGGCCAACTTTGCGAGAACTGGAAACTGCAATGGACAACCTATGTCTGGATGTACCTCCACAAGACCATTTGAGTATGGAAACAATGATATATATTCAACTCCTCATGCTTCCAATGTCAGCCATCAATTTCAAATGGGCAGTGGATCTTTCCATCAGAGACCTTACTCTTCCTTGCCCCCTGTGCAGACACCTTCAAGCCATCTAATTGCAGCTGCAAAACCACCCGAAAATCATTTTTCATATGCAAAACCTACGAATCAGCAGAATATGCAGCAGTCATATATTCCATATAGCCTATCATCCCATCCTAATGGCCACAGGCAATATGCTTCTGATGAACCGAGGAGGATTCATCCTTCTGAAGTCTGTCCAGATAATCAGCATAATGCATGGTTTGCTGGAGGAAGAGGATCATCATGCTCGAGTTCATCTTTTGTGCAGGAGGGTATGTTTTATATGTTTACAAAATAAACACATACCATTCCTTCTGTACGTGTTACATTTGGACCTTGTAACTGAGTGTGAAAATGTTCCCATGGACAATCATGCAATGTTTGGCACGATATATCTTTATTTTCCAACATGTTTGTTGTGTTGGCCTTTTCTTCTGCTTGTTCTGTACCGTTTTCATTACATGTAAAAGAAAAGGAGAAGTATAAAACTGAAGATTTACAAACATTGCCAATTGCTTTTGTGATGGATGGAATTTTTTGGCAGGGATGCTAAGGTCAAATATGGAAAGGCCATCCTCTCGTTCAATGGCTTTTCAGCATTCAATGCATGCTCCTGCACGATCTAGAACTTTGGCTCCTGGTATTCTTAACTTAATACATGGGAACATCTTCTTTTGTAGCTTCTTATTATGTGTTTTTGAGATTTTAATTTTTTCCCTCTTCTTTCCGTGCTTCTCCAGGTCGGGGTTATCCTCAAGCCGCACCATGCAGGCCTGATGATCCTTCTTTTAATCGTTGGAGGCCATCTTAAAGTTATTTTTGTAAATATTGGCTTGGAGCTATGGTGAAGACAATATCCTATGTCTTCTGTTTCTGAATATATCTTCTTTGGTATTCATTAATATCTTCCTTGTAGGTAATATATGTTATACCTCCAAATTGGTCTACTGAACCTTTCATGTTCGTTATCTAATTTCAGCTTTGTTTTATGATGCGGAAGTTGAAGACTTCAGATTTTATATTCACGGGGTCTTATGCTCCTGTATGACTTACAACTGTGCAGTTTCCATTAAAGGCGGTGATGATATCTGGCTAAGTCTTTTGGCAGGAGTTTGTACATTGTAATTTTTTTTGTCTTCACAACTGCTTTTAGCAGATTAATCACTGCTTAATGTAATCCCATGCTATTTATACCAAGAGAAAGGACGTACGAAACATTGTACTTCTTTGAGCCAAATACAATCTGATTACTGTTGCATCCTTTTAGTTTTCATTTATCTGAATAAATTACTTATATGCCTCAATGCATTTTAAATGTTAAAAAACTGAGTTTCATAGCCCTTGACTGAATTTTTAACACAAATCATTGAGAGATGATGCAGTTGAGTTTCATTTATTATAGGTAGTTGAATAAAGACCTGCCGGGGCTGTCCAAACATGGTTTAAGGATGAGTTGTCATTTTCTTCTCTATTTATTTTATCGTTCCATCTCCAATTGTTGCTTTTCAGCAGCTGGACGTGTTGAGGTAACTTTCTGACTACAGGCTACTACGTAACATATCTCTTAATTTCTTTTATACACATTTACAAATAAGGAGGGAGTTATTTGCTACAATGTTCTAGGAGGATTTGAGTTAAAACCCTCCTGTAGACACTATTTGGATGTGGATAGCGTGATGACATTATAGCTGAGGATACACATTGCCGATTTTTATCTTAACTGGAAAAGGCTGTGGGAGGTTACTTACATATAGGATGTCTCATGCTCTATAACATGTTAAATAAGTTAGGTTCTTGTCTGTCAAAATTAATTATAAAGGACGTAGACATGCATTTTGCACGCAGATATCCATGTGCATGTGTTTATGAATGTCGTCTAGAATCTAGTTGATATGTAAAGATGTATCTGTACGCATGCATGGAGTCGTATAAATATATGTGCATCATACATTTTCTAGAATTTATGATAACTTGATATGTATGGTTGTGGTGTGTTGGTCATATTGAATTAAATTCCTGTTTGTGAGAATTTTTCACATATAAACTTGTAGAGCAGCTCCTTTTCCCCCTTTAACTAGCCGTCATATGTTGTATGTCAATATGTGGTTTCATGGACCAGCATATTTTCCCCCCCATGGATAGGGATTATTCCCAGATTTTCTCCATAGGATTGTGAATTCTCACGAAGATACATATACATATAAATAACGCCCTGTCCTCTAAACAAATACCACCACAAAGCTACCTAGCCCATCACTCGCCCACACGCGTGTGCTGACAAAACAAATGGAGATGTTATGCATATCCTTATTGACTGCTAAGTTTTATAGTATTATATGAGTTTACAGGAATCTGTGTGCAATTTAGGCTTTTAGTACACGTGCCATTGTTTTATTGATGATGCATATAGTGCTCTTTGGATGTGTGTGGATGAGTGAAAATACTTGTGCTGGCCTGGGTTAGCGGGTTTGCACAAGAATGGTTTAATGAATTATAAAAGTACTTTGGTGGTAGAATTAGCAGGTAGTTAATGCAAAAAATGATGTCTGCCTTCAGATGTAATCTAAAGTACAGTTGCACGTAGATTGGAAAGGCAACCTGAAGAAGGGAAAATGAACAAATAATGGAAGAAAGAGTATTTTCCTTTGGAACATTGGTACTTCAAATTGGAATCTGATCTGATCATCATCAGATAACGGAAGGATTTGGACAAGAACGGTTTACAGAGTCATAGAAGTACTGTGTCGGTAGAATTGGCATGTACTTAATTCAAAAAATGATGTCCTCCAACAGAGTTAAACATTTCTAAAGTGCAAGTTTGCACGTAAACTGAAAAGGCTTCCTGAAGATAAGGGAAAATGAATAAATAATGGAAGAAAGAGGATTTTCCTTTGGAGCATTGATACCTCAAATTGGAGATTGATCTGATCATCATCAGATAATCGGGTTACATGATTGTCTGGTATTTGGTGGATGCATGGTAAATGCTATACTTCTGGTGTATCCTAAAAGTTTTAGTAACATACTATATACATTGGTAGGGTTATCCAGGGCGAAAAGTTATAATGTATAAACATGGTCTTCAAGGTTCAATTTGATTTATAGATGCATGTATAAATTTGTCCTCTTTTCTGAGTAAAACTAAAATAATTCTAGTGTAACTGTTTATTTAATTGTCATGAAGATTTTTTTGAGAACCTCCAAGTTATGTTGTTTCCCTTAACCCTTCTACTGTTAATAATTGACATCATATATTACGGACGTCACAGATAGTTATGATATATGTACATGTTATGCATGTAAATTTTGTGGGTAAATGTATGTGTGTATGTTGAACTGTTGTATACGAGGCTGGTCTCACACTGTGGTACACAACAAAGGCATCTAATGGCCTAGCCCTTGACTAGAGTGTCAATATTTCTTTATTTCTGTTAGAGATACAAATATGTTTGTGTTAATGTGTATGTAGTAGTTTATATACAATGCTTATTTTCGTATCTATCTTGTATGTGCATAAGTGAGAAGCATGGATTCAAACATAGATTCCTTAAAAGGGTGTACATGATGCAATAATATGAGAACAGAATATGTTAACATGCAACCATAGACATGTCTGAGTATTCAAAAGTTCAAACACTCTTCAAATGTCTCACTTCTTATAGTGGAACATATCTTAACTTATTATAGTTTTGTACTAGTCATTGATGATAAAATTCCAAGTATGGTATAATTTGTGATTTATCAACAAAAGTTAATTAAATATTTCAAACAAGTGACATGAACAAATAACAATGACAACAACAAAGCCTTCATCCCAAATTATTTCGGGTCAGCTTGATGGGTCTGAATTCTTCCATTCAGTTTTGTGCAAGGCTCTCTCCTCCATCAAGTTAACCACTATCATATGATTTATACCATTCTTAATTGCTTGCAACTAAGTTCTCTTAGGCTTAGCATTAGTCTTCCTTTTTCAATTCATTATAATCTTATGTCAATTTCTAATCAGTCTTTTTTGTGCCGCCATTGCATGTGGCTAAACCATCTCAATCAGCTCTCTTATTTTATTCTCAATGGGAGCAACCTAATCTCCTATGAGTGCTCCATTTACCCTATCTATTAGTGTATATCCTCACAAGCCCACCATGACCTTCTCATTTCTGCTACTTCTTTTCGTACATGGGGCTTGTCAATTATCCAGCATTCTGATCCAAAAAGTATCGTTGGTCTTATATTGTCCAGTAAAATGTTCCCTTCAATTTCTTAGGTTTTCTACGAGATCATGTGGAACTCCTGAAGGGCTGCTTTATTGTAGTCATCCTGATTTGGTTCTAGCCATCCTGATTTGGTTCGATAAACCATGCCATCCTCAACTCACCATCTTGATGAATGTTTGAAACTCGTGAAAGTGATACGTCCTAGACATTTCTTGACTGGAATATCTACTATTCACTGATTATCACAGTTTTACAAAAATTACATTTGAGATATTCAGTTTTTGTTCTACTAATCGTAAATCTTTTAGATTTGAGTATTTCTCTCCACATTTCTAGTTTAGAAATTATCTTTTTCCTGGTCCACTCAACTAATATTATATTAACAGTTACAGTTATGAGCATGCACTATGGGACTTCTTGAATTTCTCTAATAAGTTGGTGCATAACTAGTGCAAAAAGAGAAAGGCATAAAGCCGATGGATAAATATGTGATAATTAGCAATAATTTTGTCTTTACTTCATTTGTACTCGTATTAGAAATAATTTTGTCTTTACTCCATTTGTTCTTGTACTAGTTGTTACTCTTATCATAGATATCTTTAATCATAAACAATATACTTACTAGTACTTATTTAGTTCTTTTTCCTAAAACCTACTACATTGTTTCCCTGAACCCTATCATAAGCTTTTCATTGATCAAAGAAAATTATATGTAGATATTTTCTTTTCTCCATGTATCTCTCCGTAAATTATCTTGTGCTTAAGAATTGTCTATGTGGTCAAGTGTCTAAGTGCTGGTGTCAGAAGCATCAGTGTGTCCGACATAAGACTTCATGATAGAAGTACTGTTGCTGAATAGATATTTGTGTCTGAGTGTGCATTTCTGTGTGGTGTATTTGTGTGTGTTTGTGTGTTTATGAATGTATGTATATTTATATGTACCTATAAGTGGAGAGGGACCTGGCTACTTTGTAATGGATGTGGATGCTTCCTTTCACATGAAATTTATCATCTTTGAAGATTTAGTATGGTGAAGTTAATTTCAACATTTTGAGCTTAATTACTCAAGCATGAAATCCAACAGATGGCCAAAGTAGTAGGTAGCTTAATAGCCTTAAACTATGGTTTAAAGCTCACAAGTTGAGAATCCAAGACTTTAATTATGATCGGAACCGTAGTTGCAAGCCCAGTTTGTTCCGATTCATTGGATGGGTACGGGAACGTGGTACGCCACTCATTAGGAATCCGGTACGAGGGGGTAGGCTTATATGGTACGCTAGGTAATGTGGTACGCCTTAGGTCCGGTTCTTAAATGCTAGTTGATATCAGTAATGGTAAAAGAACATTGAGAATCATGTTGCAATTAAGATATGCATACTTTATTTGCATCATCTCCCACTTTTTTTGTCGTTTATTCTTTTAAAAAGAGTTATTTTTTTTTCAAAATTTTAACTAGTTTGAATTCTAGATCGGGTTGCTGGAGTTGGTGAATCAGGTCATGTTCCACTCGAATCTGGGACGATTGAACCCGGGTCGCGGCATACCACGTTCCCGACTTCCATGAACTGAACACTTCAAACTGCTTTGACACAATTTTTGGGTTTGAATTATGCACTACTTTCGGCTGTTTCTTTCATGACCACTAAATGCTAGCTAATTTTTTTTAAAAATTAACTAAATGTTGGTTTTTAGCACTCCAAATGATGTAGGTTACCTGTGTGTGTATAGTTTTCTTTATGTACTATGTATATATGTATGTAACTATGTATTAACTAATAGATGAGGATATGGGATCTTGTATGCCCTGCAAGGAAATTTCTGCTTTGGAGGTCCAAGGCTCTAGTTTCTTTAACCCAATGTTCACGTTGTTCTCCATTATCTCCAGTCCTTCAAAGTGGTAGTTGTACAACAAATGAGATCCTTGGGAAAAATTGTCAAATTACACTTCATTTTATATGCCACTATGTCATGGAGGTTGGCACGGCATGAATGGTGGTTGGTCATTGGTATGAACATTATCGTTTTTGAGGTGTTGAAGGAAGTAAACTTCTTCTACAATAGCTGTATCCATAATTCCCCGTTCGTCTTGCTACACATACACATATAATACAATATAACAATATTATAGATACTGCTGTTGTAATGCTAGGAATGTATAATATAATATAAATATTATGTAATGTACGCTGCCTGTGTTATTATTGTAGTACTTTAATTAAATAGTCTTATCTTGTTGGTGAAGTATCATATACCGCATGAACACTACTATGTTTAACCCTTCCCTACCTGTCTAACAATATACTATATTATATATATATATACTATATATATATATATATATATATGTTTTGTTGATTTATTACATGATGAATATATTGAAAGAAACTGAAGTAATACCCTATTCTTTTGACGGAGGAGCTTTCTCCAGTTCGCTTTTCTGTACATCCCTATATTTTTCAGTTGAGCGATTAACATTTTTTAGCTTATTGTGATTTGCGTGTCTTTGCATGTTCTTGAAACAGCTGTGTTCTAAGATAGTATATATAGAAGAAGTAATTAAAGTGGCAGTTCTATGTGATGATGTGGTCACGGTGATAGGAATATTTTGGATCACCTCTATCGCACCTTTAAGCAACGTGATGATGTGGTCACGGTGATAGGAATATTTTGGATCACCTCTATCGCACCTTTAAGCAACGTAAAATAGAATGCATGATCTATACAGTGAGCATTCACTGGCATACAGATTACTTGTGCTTCCCAGTACTTGTAAGGGATTCCAACATGATGGCATCTACCTGCATACCTAGTTTTAGGTTAACTACATTGTAGGGGGTTGCATCTTTTAACCGTTTTCTGTGCAAACACACATATATACATTTATCTATGTGCTTGGGTACATGTGTTTAAATCTGTACACTTATAGACCTATTGTCAAATCTGGATCAATTTAGACAAATGTAGCATTGGTATCAAACTCTTATTGGTGTCAACAGGTTGAGTTCGAGAAGAGAAGTAATTCTGCATCACACAATGCATCAGAGTTGGGAAGCATGAGAACTCCACTGTTCCCTTGGCTATTTAGAGACAATTAAGTCCGCTTTTTTTTTTGGGCATAGCTGAGCTATCTTGGACTTTGACTGGAGACAATCGGCCTAGGGCAAGGCTTTTTCATTGACATACTAGAATTATTCCGCAATTATACAGTGCAGTCAAACTAACTTCTATATGAGGTTCTGGAGGTATAAATATTTGTCATTCAGATATCATACGATTGCAGGTGTTTTTTTCCTTTTATTTCTTTCTTGTGAATTTGAGAATCACCCTCCAGAATACTCAGATTGTTTTTGAACAATTTGCAAAGTCATCGTCTTCTCTACATCATTTTATGCTGCAAAAGATTCAAACCCTATTGGATGCAATTTTTCCCCTTTATTCTTTAAAAATGGTGATATCAGTGAACTTTTTCTTTAATTCCGTTCGGATCAGAGAGAATTTGTTCAGAATTATGACTTCGAACTTCATAATTGTATTCCAGGCTGGGCACAACATCCTTAAAACATCCATTTCAGATGTTGCCTAATTTCAAATAAAGCTTTTGCACATTTTTGTTCATCCATGGGGAGGATCTATATACACACATAAACATAGGGATCTATTATCCTGATCATGTATTGTGTGTATATGCATGTCTGTATGTGTGTATGTATATGCATGCCAAGTCTGTGTTTGTGTAGGAAAATGCTCCGTTAGTAGCAGACTTATGATGCAGTTTTCTGTGGACTCCAAAGTGGGCCATCCTATGCATGACTCATATCTTTCATTCTTGATCTACATACCTAGTTTTAGCTTAAAAATGAAAAATTAAATTTCTACAGAACTATTTATCCACTTGCTGGAAGATATCTTTCCTCTATGGAAAAAATACAATCTTCTTTTAAGATGCATGGGAAAAGTTTAAATTGTTTGATTTTTCATTCTTAGGCTAATTTACATTGGATCAGGATGAACCGTGTTGATCACCATGGAATGATACCCTACAATGTAGTTAGTCTGGCAACTTTTTTGGGAACCAGTTCTCATAGGAGGACTGCCTCTACGTGTTTCTCTGTTTCTCTGTGTGCGCGTGTAAATGAATTGTGAATTTCATACAGTAGCAACTCTCTTATCTTATTCTTTCCTTTTTGTTACCTTTTTACTAAAACTCCATGTGGACTACTCTCTAATCTGAAAGCTGCATTTATCACTCTGAATGATTGATGCAGGTCAGCAAAAAGTAGTCTACCTTATGTCTGAAGTCTTTATTAGTGGGCCCTTGTTGAGATATACATTTTAATTATCCTATAGTGGATATTGGAGATCTGGTTACCCAGAGTACACAATAAAAAGAGATGTATTGGACAATCATGGGGAGGACACTGGCGTAGTAATCTATGAGGAAATGAGCTTGGCTTTTTATGTGTGTTTTTCATTGAGAGGTTAGTGGGTGCACAGTTGTAGTATAGTCAAGGTAACTGCCTTTATCTGCCTTACTGTTCAATTTAATTGTGAACTTATTAAGTTATTTTCTTGATTCATCATTTTGTTTTATGTTATATTCCTCCCTTTTATTACTAATTTTATCTGCCTTTCATTGCTCAGGTTTTTACTTTACTAGTATAACATTACTTTGATTATGAGCCTTGCTGTCTCATTTGAGAATGTTCTTTGACTGAAACTTCTACTCTGATTTTCACTGATAAGTTCAGTCCAAGGATAACATTTCTTGTAAGTTTCTTGTTTAAGTAACTCTTCTTTTTCAGTTATTTGTTTGCAAGTGCGTAGCTTCTAGTAAAAAAAAAAATCAGTTGTATTACTCTTTGAACATCAAACTGTTGGATAATTTCTGTGGTGACTTAATTAAATCATTTTTTTATTTGTTGTTGTTAAAGAAGTTTTCTACGTTATTTTAACATGAAGATCATTATATGGACAACTTCATCTCATAGCCTATTAACTACAAATACTTTCCTTTTGCTTTCATAAGCATGTACATAATATTAAAATATTATATAAGTTCAAAAAAATTAAACTATGAGTTTTCTTATAAAGGAAGTAATATCTTGTACAAGGTAAGTGTTGTGTAAGAGACTGCTGAATTTTGAGGTTCAGTCCATACCAATGTTACCAGAAATGTGAATTTATGTGGTACAAAATGAAATTGGGTGTGTAGATTGTTATTGCTCAGATCCTCAGGATGTAGTGCATTGGGGATATCTCCATTGACAGTCCGAACAAGTTGGGACCTAGCAAAAGTTATAATAACTATGATGTTTGTATAGCAGGTTTTGTCCATATGCCTTGTATTAGTGCATAGAGCCTTAGCAAGAACAATAATGGTTATTGTTCACGATTCATATGCCTTGTATTAATGTGCATAGAGCCTTAGCAAGAACAATAATGGTTATTATTCACGATTCTGTGGTAGGGCTAGGAGAAGTGGAGAATTGAATTGTATTTTCAGTCTAGGACTATTGAGTTTTGGATTACACTACAATTTGGGTTCTTAGACAGTTTGAAGGTAGATTATTTTGGATTGAACTAGATTTGGAAAATTTTGTTTAATTAATTAAACTATTATATTAAATAACTATTATTAATAGCATAGTTGTTATTTGATTAGTAAATTTTTATTCGATAAATTATTAAGTTAATTTTAAATTTATTATTAAATTATTATTATTGCTTTATACAGTTAAATATATAAATATAATACCATAATAATGCAACAATGAAGATTGGAAATTAATGTTTGATCACAAATGAAATAATTTATAGTTTGATAGATAACTAGATCACTTGAGAGCTATTTGTTCCTTCATTCCACATTTTTTCGCTAGATGCATGTTCTCATCTGTTGTGTTTGTTGTAACTGTAAGTCATCCTCATTGAAGTCAACACTGAGAGGAGCAACGTAGCATGGTGGATTACAAGGAAGGTAGAAGCCCGGAAGGTAACATAATCATCAATTGACCCTTCTAGTCACAGAAAATTATACAAATCCACACATGTAAAGACCATCTTCTTTTGTGTGTCATAAAATCAGGAGGTTGAGTTTTAAAAATAGTGAGCATAATTTAAAGCTCTGAAGACACAAACAATACAGTTTTTGGGAGATGAGTGGTAATAAGCTCATAGGCTTAACATCATTCTACTTCCATCATCAAACTTTCTAGGTTCATGTTCACATCCCCAAATTCCACCACTTCTGTACGATGTTGTCCACCACTACAGACAGGCATACAAGTCGAGGATGTTCAGTGCTACTTGGAGGCAGCATATCTTTAAGTTTAGCACCCGAGACTCCAGAACCCACCTTCTCATTTTATTAGCTATGCAGGTAGGAACATGTAGAGTTACACCTTATCTGCTTTGCAATGCTGTTTAAGTTGATGCTACCAAGGAACATCACCCCAATATATCTGTTTAAGTTCATGCTGTTTAAGTGGCCAAAATTTATGCTTGCTCATCTCATGTATTGTCTGTAAGCTCCCCACCAACTATTTTTCTTCGCCCTTTTCTAAAACTTGTTTAGAGCATCTGGCTTTTAAGCTTTAGGTAACAAGTAGTATTTATTTTGAGGAGTGTCGGGGTATAATTTTTTGCACAGTGAAAGTTTCTGCTTTTTTTTGTTTGTCAAACTACCAATGGAAAGTTTGTCGATGAGTGGTGATTTTCTTGAGTCAAGAGCAATTATTGCAGTGGAGCCTCTTATAAGCGAAGGACTTTCATGGAGGGCTATTATACAATCTAAGTAGGGTTAGGGATTGAAGGGATTTAAACGGGCAAGTAGGTTGCATATGATGGTATAGATGTGCATATTAGCCTGAAGCAGGTCTTCTTGAGGATTGGGCAACATATCTTTTCACCTACCTTCTGCATGTTCTAACCCTGATGTTTTATTCATTTAAAAAGGAATACGTTATGGATATTTATGGAATGTTAATACGCTATACCAGCTGCTGTGATGTATCTGTCCCTCACGGGAAGTTGAGAACAGAGCACACTCAAGGTGAATACAAATCAGCTTAGGGGGTATGTATATTTATTAATATGTATATTTATTAGAATACCTTACTATTGTAAAAAGAGGTGGAGTCGGTGAAATTTTCTATCCTTGAGCTAAATATTTGAATTTGATTTTCTTTAGCTACTTGTTTTCTTGAAATTCTTATGACTCTGATGCCTTCTCACACAAATGTTGGTAGTATTGGACTGGTGAAAACACGTAGTTCGTCTACTTTATATTTTGTTCCATTTTTCACATTGGTAAGACTTGCTTAGCTTTATGTATGCAGGCACCACCGTGAAATAAAGGTGTTGAGGTTGGTGGGTGTTTGTATTAAGACGCGAGCCATCTTGATGATTTTAGAATTGTTTAAGTTGTCTAAGCATACTAAGGTGGAGATTGGGTCATATTATTTGTCTTAAAGATTCTTTTTTGATTATTTAGCATTAGGATTTTCTTTTCCTTGCCCCTTGGATCATCAGCCCAATGGAAACAAGTTTGACAACATCAGTACCATCTCCAAAATAGTGCGCACCTACGCCTTAATGTTGAACTTCTTATATCGAACTTTAGTGCTTTGTATTAATACAATTTAGTGTGCAATTGAAAATTAAAAGTGAAAAGCCAAAATGCAGGTTTCAAACTAAGGAAACACTGGTCCGCATGATATGACTAGTGTACATGTGATAAAATGAAGTTCCAGCTAAATTCCTAACATTTTTATTTTTCTAATCAAGGGCTTCCTTCTTCCACGCAGTTATTGGCTTGAGCAATCCCTCTGGTTTTGGAGACGACATCGAGGACCTTGTTGATGAATTAATCTCCAATTGTTGCAAATTCGAGGTGCTCGATGATTTCCTGACAGAACCAAGCTTGTTGACTCTGCTCGGATCTCCAAGGGGAGAGGGACTTATGTGACCTGTGTCCCTTGAGAACATCAAAGCTTTTCCTGTCCTGGCAGCAATACTTTCGGCATTCTCTGGCTCTGAAATGATCAGGACCGGATCAGTATCAGCTTTTTGGCGCCGCCTTACTGAGTTCATGTTTCCAGATATCTTGGCTTTGTTGTCTCCAGATATATCAATTGATCCATCATCGGCGAGCCTAGAAGGTTCTGGAAAGTCCTGGACAGCTAGGCTTCTCGCTCTCCGATGGTGATTTGGATGTCGATCAGAGGCTACTACTGGATTTACAGGCAATGCCTTTTGTGGATGATATTTGAGCTTTGACGGAGAGAAGGAACTGAACGGGTCATCGTAAAGCCTGTTGGTAGAATAATTATATATGTTTAGCATGATGAACTTCAATTTTTAACCATGGCATAATATTCGGAGATCCTGGTACATAGCATTAATAGTGCACTAAAAATTTATCATACCCCTTGATGAGGGAGACTTTTAGATTTGTGAATTCTTCCGAGGGTTGATATCTTTTTGTTGACCATTAATGTCATTGATCCGGTTCACTTGAAACTATCTCATTAATAGCAATTAGTATAAATGAAAAGTGAATGCAACAGGTATGGCTTCTTCTAGGTGGCCCCGGGTTCATGACATTAAATATGCACAAAATAGAAATTAGCTGTTGGATTATTAGATTTTGGGATTATTCAATGGTTGCAACCTTTTGGTTAACATTAAATATCATGGATAGTCTCAGCTAGATTCTTTCTCGGCTTGTGGAGATAATTTGATGTAGTGACAGCTAGTGACCAAGCAGAATCAGACGTTTAAAGTATTTAAACATTTAAAGTATTTAAGCAAGAAGAGGGACTAAATTTCTACCGTGAGGTTACTAAACTGATGAGTTAGATATCGCTTTACCCTATTTATTAATCTATTTAGTGCTCAAGTTGCAACAGATCATGAGCTTCGTTGATCCTATTGACTGCATCCTGTTAGATTTTTGAATAATGGTTATAAAATTGAAGATGTGACAAATCAGTTGGTTGATCCGGTTACTATTTAAACCTCCCTCTTCTATTATGGAAGTTATTAATTAATCATAATGGAACCAAGAATTAGTTCATCCAAAATTATGTAAAATGCTCCTGACCTACAATTTTCAACCGTATGATTTTCGATCATCGAAGCTGAATATAAAATCATGACCTGCCATCGAGACTAAGAAAAAGATCATTTCTTCGTTTTATATTGAAAGGTATAGAATGGAAATCTCTAATATTTTCTCTTCTTTTTTTTTTTTGAAAAAAAAGAGAGGGAGACATTGTAGAGGCGAGAACTAAAAGAATGCATAATGGATTCAATGAATAAATTGTACAAGTATTATCAATTATTTCATCACCATTTCCCATGTTTGAAGACCGTAGAATTTGACAAGATCTAAATCACGTTCTTGGTCGATATAAACTTCTTAATCCTTCATTACAGGACACAACTCTTTGTTCTTAATGTTTATTTATTTTTCAACAAATTAACTGTGGATAAATTGTTAAAGGGACATCACAATACGTTAAAAATTAGAAGGGAAAAAAAAAGATTATAGAAAGGCTAAAGGTGGGAGCTTCCTTAATCTTGCCTTAATACTTTTACGATACTACATTGTCCTTTGCTTCATTATGCTGCAAGCACTTGTGATAAAACCATTGAATTTGCACATAATATCCAAAAAAACCAAAACCATAAATTTAAAAAATACCTATTGCTAGCAGATATATTCGCAGCCACAGCCCCCGGAGAAGGTGGATGCTTCGCCGGCAACGGAATCTGCACAGATCTCAAAGCAAACATCTGATGATCTGTTACTAGACCATTCAATTTCTTTATATCAGCCACCTAAAACATATACCAAAAACTAACTATTATAAATTTCTAAATAAATATAAAATCTTTCAATTTTTGTAAGCTATTTGGATTACCTCTACCCCATATTTGATGGCAAGACCAGCGACGGTGTCCATTTTGGACACAATGTGTTGGATATTATTAACATCTGAGTATTGAGAGGTTTGTTGGCTCTCCTCTCTTTTGAGCCTCTCTGCCTGCATTTAAAAAAAAAAAAATTTTGCTAAGAAAGAATTCCAACTTTTGGGAAGGAGAAGACTCAGAAGAGGCCTTTTAGATTCTTAATGCTTGTGTTAATCTCATCCGATAAAACCGAGCAACCGTGAGAGAGGAGGTTGAGGCAAGTTAAGTACAGGCATTTGCATGAGATAAGGAGGTCACAATTCCAGGAGATACGTTTGCAATAAAAATTTCAGGCAGAAATTTTCTTCCTAAATTTAGAAGATAATGTAGGAGTTTCCGACATTATTCATTCCCCCAACAAACTGAACATGAAATACACAAAACACATCATTTGGACCAAAAAAAATAAATAAATAAATTGCAGTACCAAGGTATCAAACAAAAGTTACATATGATCACAACGAATGAGATGACAAAAGTTTTAAGCCGCAGAAAGCAAAAGAAAACTTCTAACATCACCAAAATCTCCATGAGCGATGGTGTAACTCCTCTATATCAGCATGATCCGTTCTCTTTAATTGTGTGTCGCTCTCAATGAGTCGTCTATGCCTTTGATGTAACCTTTTGAAGTTGCAATCGATAAACTTGCCTAACAGAAAATCAAATGGAAATGTGAGGTAACACATTTCGTTCATTCAGATTCAAGTAATTCCAGAAATAGTACTACAAATATGAATTTGAATTTGTATATAACTAATGTGAGATACACTTTATGGTCATTCAGTTGCAAGTAATTTCATAAAAGAGTTCAATAAAAATAAATTTGAATTTTTATAAACCTATGCTTTAAGTAGTCTATTTTTGTTTAGTCACTTTCAGTGAACACTCTTATACCGAAAACATTTATATATCAAATATGGGTTATATATAATTTCCTAAAAGCATACGGATTGAAACAGTAAACTTAATGAAGTCTTGCAATAAGCAAGATTCATTGCATAAAGGCGAAGTTTGGGCCATCTGTATATAGCATACATCATTTTCATCTGGATATTGTGTTACTGATACTTGCAATAATGTTCGTAAATAATCATACCATAGTGTTACTGATAAAATTCCCCCATTGTATGTGAGAATTTATATTACTAAACAATATCTACTCTTTTGCTAAATAACATATATAAGAAAAATGTAAAATGAGATGAAATTCTTATCGTGAGCTTAGCCCAACAGGTTAGTCAATATGATGATCAGTACCGTCCGTTTTGATCTACATATAACATGATCTATATCTGTAGGAATTTGTACATTTTAGATTTTTGAAATCATCATCAACTATTTGCAACCTCTTAAGTTGTGCATAATCATGAAACTAGTTTCACTCGTATTTTATAAGGCTCAAACTAATCTACATCTATGAATATTTAGGTTTGATGATATTTTGAACAAGATGAACAACACCAATTATGGATTTACAGCCGACTAGGCTAGCTTGTGCTACAGGTCTATATAGGTATGCATTGTATATTTATGTGATGTCATATGGTTAGATGGGGTCGTTGATTGAGGTATATTTGTGTATAAGCAAACTGGGATTTGTATATGGTATATGTATGGATATGGGTATATGATACATGTCACGCCCAGGCCCGCAAGCCCATTGACGCGATGTAAGCCTTGAGACCCACTGAGTGCAACACATGGTTTGGCTCAATCCACTGCCAAAATTGACTAGTCAATGTTGCACATGACTCTCAAGACCCATCATTTAAACCCTCTTAAACTCCAATTTTCCGATGTGGACTATTAATGGGGCATCACGCCCATAGGAACATTAATTTGTATGACAAACCTAGTGTGTGTTCAGGTGTGAAGTGTTCTTTTGATCAATATTTTGGAACTAAAATACAGTTCAGTGGGTTCAACATTAATCTAGATTTTTATGTCAGCTGAAACACGACGTCGACGAGAAGAAAAGGAAACACCTCAGAGAATCCAGCAAGAGATCATATTTGAAACACATGCTAAAATGATACAATCTTGCAGGTATCACATTGGAAATAAGAAACAAGCTATTAACAAACAGAAATCATTCTAAGAGTTCTTTTTTTTAAGGGAATAACATTCTAAAAGTTGCAGACTCAGAATTTAACTGATGATAAATAAAGCATATAATAATACCTTACCTTATCGCCGTTGAGTCCTCCTCACCCAATCTAAAATGTGATAGCAATCTTCATCCTGTCTAAAAATCCTGTTTTTAGTTCGATAGGACTTTATCTCATATGTCTCTTGCCTTCCAGATACATTTTTTTCCATTTGAATAGACTCAGGCACCACCACACTTTCCTCATGATAAGCATTGTAAATGAAGTCAAGAATAGTCTCCAAAGGCTGTGAAGCATCAAGCCAATGATAAATATTTTCATTGCGAAACCAAGTCAGTTGCCTCTTTGCAAAATTTCGTGATGCTTTCTGAAACTCAAACAAAAACCCACGAAAGCTAACAGGGCAACTTTTCCCCCCTTCTTGCCTACAACCAAGCAAATACTCCATTGCTTGTCTATACCCAATAGCTCGAGTAGCAGAATTCATATTAGACTGAAGACCTATATCAAGAAGCCACGAAGCTTCAGAAAGAAGACCTTCAGTATCCATCAGCATCTCTTCACATCTCAAATCAATCGCTCTGTAAAGATTAATTCTCGGGCTAGAGAGAAAAAGGCAAATAAAATCATACTCCAATTCCTTCGCCAAATTTTCTTCAATTCCAACATTTGATTCAACTTGGTCACGAAAAGAATCATATGGAACTTCAAAAGCACTAGGAGGTGACCCACTTGACCTAATAACCTCGAGACTTCTTCTCAAGCGATACCAATTATTATATGGGATTGAATAAGCCTTTTCATTTCCAGCCTTAACTACATACTCAACAGCTTCATCCCAATTTCCTCTTTTCATAAACTCTTCAAGCTCAGAGCAAACTTCAGAAGCAACCTCCATCGTTACTTTTGGAACATCGGGTTTCCCATAAACAAACCATCTCAAATATAAGCCAGTGCCTCCTGCAATTATGGGCACTTTGCCTCTTTCAAGTACTTCCTTTGTGGATTTTCTCGCATCCTCAAAGAACTGCCCTGCAGAGTACTCCTCTGAGGGATGCAATATATCGATTAAATGATGAGGAATTTCTTTTCTATCAGAGACGGAAGGCTTGGCTGAGCCAATATCAAGACCACGGTACACTTGAACCGAATCAGCACTGATGATCTCTCCGTTGAGTTTCTTTGCAAGCTCTATTGCGAGCTTGCTCTTTCCTGCTCCGGTTGGACCGGAGATCACAATGACCTTATGCTTGTTTTTACTCGGGTTTGAGATTGAACATGTAGTTGTGGATAGGTATTTTCGAGAAAATGAGAATGTGTGTTTGTGTTTGAAGCTCAATGCAAGTCTCATTCCCCAAGTTGGTAATCTAATTCCTTTGGTTATTAAAGGAAGTGAGGAATGAACATCTGTGGAGAAAAATTAACCATGGAAATAAATCTGTTATTGAGAGTTAAAAAGGAGCGAATATGAATATTTTAGCACCGATGTAAGTATATAACAAATAATTAGTGGGTATTTCAAAAAGAAGTGACATATAAGTTTATTTATTAGTGAGGCATTTCATCAAACAGTTGTTGTGCAACAAATACTACATGCATTGTAAAGAAAAAAAAAGGAGAATGCAGAAGGCTTACCAATTCGCTGGATCATTACTGTACTGTAGTGAACTCTGTAGAGATCATATAATGTTAAAAAAAGGATAATAAAAAAATATAAAAGCAAAAACAACTATAATAAATTATTTGATTGGCCCTTATCCCCACTAGTCACGGGGGATGTTCTATCGAGTAGATTCAGGTCAGAACTTGTAAGCCTAGATTTTATATGAATTTTTTAAAGAATATATTTAGTTAGAAAGAGGAGACAAAATCTAAAACACATATATTTGAATTTTGGAGATGCGGGGTATCGATCCCCGTACCTCTCGCATGCTAAGCGAGCGCTCTACCATCTGAGCTACATCCCCTTTTGCTGTTGTGTATTCACACGTATGTAATACATCATTAATTAATACAAAAATCCACTGTGTTAGACATTCGAAATATATGACACCAGTTCTATATACTAACAAGTAACAACTCACTTGTATAAAGGTTACATTTTTTTCCCGATTATATATCTTGAAATTCAGATAGTAAGTTGAAGAGCAATCGATAAACAGTATGTCCTTCCACACTCTTCACTGGAGTATCAATAGCGCAACATATATTTAGATCATCAGCTATGATATGCATATATGTATAATTAGAGATCTAGCGCTCTGTATGTATGCCAAATTAGCAACACATTGATTAGATCAAGAATAGAAGGAGACACCCCTTAGTATTTACTCGATTACAAATCTGTCACCTAATTCTTTGATGCGATATATATTTTATACTGATTTAGAGGTTTATAACATTTTCATTTAATAGAACAGTTTTTATATAGTTTTAAAATACTAAAAGTTCACTGTAGTCTTGTGAAAATTACTCCATTTCTTTATTTACTTCTGTAAATATTATTTTGAGTAAATTTCACAAAACATCCCAAAATCCTGGAGACATTTCTCACGACCTTGTGAAACTTTGTTTTTCCCATTTAACCCTCAACACTTTTCCACAAAACTCCAAAGGATCTCTAGCAATCTCCAAAACTTTTAAACCTTTCCTAGAAAAATCTCAAAAATTTGCCTCTTGTAATTTGACAACCTTATTATCTGCCCAATTTCGTTTGTTCTTTTTTTCTTTTCTTTGGGGCTTGCCTTTTTGGAGATTTTGACAAAAAAGTAGAAATCTTTGGGGGCTAGTTTGAGAGTCTTTGGGGTTTTATAATGGGGTTTAGTTGGAAAAACAAAGTTCAAGGGTGTTTCACGCAAGACGATCCAAACTTTTTTGGGGGTTTATATGTGCAATTCACTCTGTTAGTTTGGGACAAAAATGCTATATATTCAGTCATCGTGGAAATGAAACGATCACACACCTGTATTATCCACTGAACTCTCCGCAAGCTCGAAAACACCCGCGAACAAAATCAACAGATAAGAAACAGGGGAAAGAGAGAAAGAAAAAGCTCCAAAAATGGCGAGCGCACTTCAGCTCGCAGACTCAAACCCTCTCCTTTTCAAACCCTCGCTCGCGAAAAGACGAAAACACCCCCAAAGATTCCGCCTTGTTCCAAGAGCTTCGTCTTCTTCTTCTTCTCCTCCTCCTCCTCCTCCCCCCGAGAGAACGCGGCGTCAGTTCATCTCAGATGCCTCGGCCGTACCTCTCTCCATCGCTGCGCTTCAGTTGCAGGCGTCGCCGGCGCCGCTCTCGGAGTGGGAGAGGGTTTATCTCCCCATTGATCCTGGTGTTGTGCTCCTTGACATCGCTTTTGTGCCTGATGACCCTAAACACGGTGAGGATCTAACCCTAATTTCTTGTTGGTTTTTTTTGCAATTTTTGTGGCAGTAGATGTTAGCGCCTCAATTGTGATGCTTTGACGATAATGGGATGGATGGTGCTCGAAACAATTAGGCAATGTAAGGGAAATTACCCACTAAACCAGAGAATAGAACAATCACAAACACAATATTTACGTGGTTCGATCAAATTGATCTACGTCCACGGCAAGAGGGTGTATCACTATATTTCTTTCTCAACATACAACACTCATACAAAATATTGAGAGCTCACAGATTTCGTTGTATGGCTTTCTCTCTGTTTATCTCTCAATCACTCTCTGCTGGTTTTGAGTGCTTTTTAACAGAGGAAGAGAGGGGGGTTTTATAGGCTTCAAATCCTCTCATTTATCAACAAAAAACGGCTCTTGTTGTCAACAAGTGCGGCTACCGAAAGCCAGCACCTCTTCAGCCACCTAAAGCTAGCACGCCTGCCTCCATTTTTGACTTAGCTCTTCAACCACCAGCACCTTTTCTTCATTGTAAACAAGAGCTGCTGTCGGCTGCCACTTTATTTGACCAACAATCTCCACCTCGGTGAAGTTTTTTCAAAACTGAACCGACACCAATAACTAGTGAGTCTTCACCCATCTTACAATCAATGCCCCAAATGGGACCGTCTAACAAGTGCGAACGCCTCCCAAATTCAAGCAGTGCTTGAACTTGAAGACCGGGATCGGTTTGGTCAACATGTCAGCTGGGTTGTCTGCAGTACCAATCTTCTTCATAGTGATGTTTCTTTCAGCAGTTGCCTCACGAATGAAATGATATCTGACATCAATATGCTTTGTCCTCTCATGATGTGCTGAGTTTTTACTTAGATGTATTGCGCTCTGATTGTCGCAAAATACAACTGAACTAGCCTCCTGCTGTAGTCCAAGCTCCCTCACGAGATTTCTCAACCAAATGGCATCTTTTACCACTTCTGTTGCTGTCATGTATTCTGCCTCTGTAGTAGACAAAGCAACTGTCGACTGTAGAGTTGATCTCCAACTAATAGCTGAGCCAGAAAGAGTAAAAAGATAACCAGTCAAAGATCTTCTTTTATCGAGATCACCTGCATAGTCAGAATCCACAAAACCTACAACCGAGGTTCTCAAAGTACTGCTATCAAAAACTAAACCCAAATCTGAGGTACCCCTGAGATACCGTAGGATCCACTTCACTGCCTCCCAGTGTGTCTTCCTTGGTTAAGCCATGTATCTGCTCACTACACTGACTGCCTGGGCAATGTCTGGACGAGTGCAAATCATAGCATACATAATGCTACCCACTGCATTAGAGTATGGAACTCGGGACATCTCCTTCTTCTCGTTCTCACTTGTAGGTGAATCTGAAGCCGAGAGCCTAAAGTGAGGAGCCAAATGAGTCGTAACGGGCTTGGCCTTCTTCATCCCAAAGCGTTCAAGCACCTTTTCAATATAACTCTTCTGTGAGAGATATAAAGTTCCAGCTTTCCTGTCCCTCCTGATCTCCATAACTAAGATCTTCTTTGCTGCACCAAGATCTTTCATCTCAAACTCATCACTGAGTTGGTTCTTCAAAATAAGAATCTGCGACATGTTCTTAGCAGCAATAAGCATGTCATCGACATATAATAGAAGACTTAGCAGCAATAAGCATGTCATCGACATATAATAGAAGATAAATAAAAGAATCATCTCCTAGATGCATGTAGTACACACAACTATCATAAGTACTTCTTGTGTACCCATGACTAAGCATAAAATTATCAAACCTCTTGTACCACTGTCTGGGAGATTGCTTTAGGCCGTACAAAAATTTCTTCAATCTGCAAATTTGATCTTCTTTACCTTCTACGAAGTGTCCCTCTGGCTGAGACATGTAGATAGTCTCCTCAAGTTCGCCATGTAAAAATACAGTCTTCACATCAAGCTGCTCAAGCTCTAGATCAAATAGAGCAACTATGACAAGCAATACACGGATGGAGGTATGCTTCACAACCGGAGAGAACACTTCATCATAGTCAATTCCCTCCTTTTGTCTATAACCCTTAGCCACCAACCGTGCTTTGAATCTAGCATCTTCAACCCCTGGGATCCCTTCTTTCTTCTTGAAAATCCACTTGCATCCAATTGCCCTTTTACCCTTAGGTAATTGCACCAAATCCCAAGTCTGATTCTTGTAGAGTGACTCGAGTTCTTCTGTCATAGCTGTGGCCCAACGTCCAGATTCTCCGCATGAGACAGCTTCAGTAAAGTTTGATGGCTCTTGAATACTCATCTCTTCAGCTGTCGTGAGAGCATACGCCACTAATTCAGCATGTGCATATCTTTGAGGAGGTTTGATCTGTCTCCTCTCTCTGCCAGTGGCTATGGAATAAGGTTCTTCAGTCTCAGCATCATCAGCATCTGAGCCTGAATCATGTTGCTCTTCTACAGCTGTAGGAGCAAATTTTATAGACGACTTTTGAGACGTTTCTCCCTCGAGCTCCACCTGAAGCTCCACCTTATCCATGGTCTTCTCTACATTTCCTGTAGACTCAACAGAAACCTTCCCATGATCAAGCATATATCTTTCATTAAAAGTAACATCTCTACTAATAATGAATTTAGGAGAATCAGGTTCAAGACTCCACAAACGATAGCCTTTAACACCATCAGCATAACCAATAAATATGTATTTCTTAGCTCTAGGCTCAAGCTTACCCTCTCTAACATGATAGTAAGCGGGACATCCAAATACCTTTAAATTTGAATAGTCATTTGGTTTACCTGACCATACCTCGTTTGGAGTCTTGTGTTCAATGGCGGTAGAAGGAGACCGGTTCACCAAGTAACAAGCTGTGTTAACAGCTTCAGCCCAGAAGCCTTTATCCAAGCCAGAGTTTGAGAGCATACACCTAGCTCTCTCCATCAACGTTCTATTCATGCGTTCTGCCACCCCGTTTTGCTGAGGAGTGTGCCTGACCGTGCGATGTCGTACGATCCCAGAATTTGAGCAGAACTGATTGAACTCACCACTGCAGAACTCTAAGCCATTATCTGTTCGGAGACGTTTAATCTTCTTTTCAGTTTGATTTTCAACAAATACTTTCCATTTCTTGAAAGTTTCGAACACCTTGCTTTTGCGCCTGAGAAAGTAAACCCAAACTTTCCTGGAAAAATCATCAATAAATGTCAGAAAATAAAGAGCACCACCTTTGGATGGAACCTGAGCAGGTCCCCACAAATCTGAATGGATGTAGTCGAGAGTGCCCTTCGTCGTATGTGAGCCAGTCGAGAAGCTGACCCGAGTTTGCTTCCCAAACACACAATACTCACAGAAATCCAGTGATGATGTATGATCACCACAGAGTAAGCCACGTTTACTCAAAATAGTCATCCTCTTCTCACTCATGTGGCCTAAGCGCATGTGCCACAACTGAGTAGTGTCTCTATCAGCATCAGAAGACACACCTGCAGAGCCTGTCACCGTACTACCTTGGAGAACATAAAGACTGTTCACCTTACTACCTTTCATCACAACCAATGAACCCTTAGTAACTCTAAGAGCTCCACCTTCGCCAGTGTAAGAACACCCAATAGAATCCAAAGAACTCAAAGAAATTAGATTTTTCTTTAAGTCCGGGATGTGTCTCACATCTGACAAAGTTCTCACTATCCCATCGTGATACCGGATGCGAACTGTACCAATGCCAACTGTCTTGCAAACTGCATTGTTACCCATCAAAACTGATCCACCACTTATAGATCTGTAAGTAGTGAACCAATCTTTATTTGGACACATATGAAAAGACGCACCTGTATCCAAGATCCATTCTTTATCGGAACGGCCATCCAAGGGACATACTGTAAGAACCGTCTCAGCAACAACGGCAGTATCAGCCTTTGCCGTATTAGCTGAATATGAGGTTTTACCACGCTGGTTGTCTTTCTTCTTTAGAGCATAGCATTCTGACTTATAATGCCCTTTCTTGTGACAGTAGAAACACTCCACATTTTTCTTGTTTGGGGCTGACCTGGACTTTGAGCGATTTCTGGATTGACCTTTATCACCCTCTCTGGCTTTCGATCTACCTCTGGCTAGCAGACCATCAGCCTGCCCATCGGTACCTCTCCCATTCAACTTTGTTCTCAACTCAGCAGAATTCAAAGAGGCCTTCACATCCTCAAGACTTATGGATTCTCTTCCATACAACATAGAGTTAACAAAGTTTTCATAAGAGTTAGGCAAGGAACATAACACAATGAGAGCCTGGTCTTCATCATCAAGCTTTAGATCCAGGTTTTTCATATCCATGATAATTTTATTAAATTCATCAAGGTGTTCTTGAATGGGTGTACCTTCTTTCATCTTCAATGTGTATAGCCGCTGCTTCAGGTATAATCTCGTAGTAAGAGATTTCTTCAAATAGAGACTTTCGAGCTTTGACCACAACCCCGCTGCCGTTTCCTCATCGGCAACTTCACGAAGCACATTGTCGGATAGTGACAATTGCAAGGCGCTGTGAGCCTTTTCGTCCATCTCTTCGATCTCGGCACTAGTCATATCATCTGGGTATTTCCCGTCGATAGCTTTAACCGTGCCTTCACGTCGCAACAAAGCCTTCATCTTTATCCTCCATAGGCCAAAATTGTTCTGGCCATCAAAGATCGACACCGAGAACTTTGCGGAAGCCATTGTAGAGGATTGAAAGCTGTCCTAGAACCGAGAAGCTCTGATACCAGTTTGTAAGGGAAATTACCCACTAAACCAGAGAATAGAACAATCACAAACACAATATTTACGTGGTTCGATCTAATTGATCTACGTCCACGGCAAGAGGGTGTATCACTATATTTCTTTCTCAACATACAACACTCATACAATGTATCACTATATTTCTTTCTCAACATACAACACTCATACAAAATATTGAGAGCTCACAGATTTCGTTGTATGGCTTTCTCTTTTCTTTCTCAACATACAACACTCATACAAAATATTGAGAGCTCACAGATTTCGTTGTATGGCTTTCTCTTTGTTTATCTCTCAATCACTCTCTGCTGGTTTTGAGTGCTTTTTAACAGAGGAAGAGAGGGGGGGCTTTTATAGGCTTCAAATCCTCTCATTTATCAACAAAAAACGGCTCTTGTTGTCAACAAGTGCGGCTACCGAAAGCCAGCACCTCTTCAGCCACCTAAAGCCAGCACGCCTGCCTCCATTTTTGACTTAGCTCTTCAACCACCAGCACCTTTTCTTCATTGTAAACAAGAGCTGCTGTCGGCTGCCACTTTATTTGACCAACAGGCAAAATGTTTGATTTTTTTTATTAACATTGAAATAATTCAGCTAAATTTGAAATTTTGTAAATAGTAATGCTCGAAACTTCCTATTTTGCTACTTGATTCTGCAGCAATTAACCAGGTTCACGTGTTCGGGCAAAACCAATAAGATATGTAGTTCGAAATATCAGGTAGCCAACAACGTCCATGTGAAGATTTGCTATTTTCCGGCGATGCCCTTCCGATGTTTGCAGCAATGCCTTTCTTTGATGAAAACAGTAAGCAAAGGTTTCATGTACCTTACCCAAGAGGGTCCAGCCTAGTTGGTAAGCTGCCTATGAGTAATACGCCAATGTCTCTGGTTCAATTCTCTTGGGGAGCACCTATAGAAAACTAATTTGTGTAATACTCGAGGCTGTGCATTGGGGAGTGTCCCTTAGACATGCCTAGGGGTTTGATGCCCATGGTCCGAAGGATTGTGGGGAAATTTCCTTGTCTAACCGGAAAGGTTGCATTCATGAGGAGAGATTATTTATACCTTCTTGGTAGTTATTTTCACAATATACAAAGATCTTGTCATGATTAGATTAAAGGGAAACAATTTTGTTGATTTGTCCATCTGAGCTATTAAAATCAGCCTTCACAGGTTGTTGTTACCTTTTGCGGTGATGACAACCATGGGGTTATTGTGATTCTTCAGATTTGTATAGTTGTCATTTTATCCTGCTTGCCTTGTTATATTCGCTTTATGTGTCAAATAGTCAGCTCAACATAAACGAATCTCCTAGGCTACGACCTTACAATGGGTTACTGATCTTTCTTGATTGATTTGCCTTCTCAGAGATCACACTACAACTTTGCAGTGCATTACGGATCAGTTTGAAATCGTTCTCTTTTTTTGTTGAGTTACGAACAGACTTACCAGGCATATCCTTGATAAACTCCATGGCCTATGTGATTTGCTAATGACACAATGCCGTTGATGAGAAGAAGGACGAGACAGTTTCTAAAGTAGAAAGACTGATAGAAGCTCTAGAATCGATAAGTTTTAGAGCCAGTATACTAAAAGTATAATATATGGAATATGATTTTTAAAAACTTTGAAAAAGATGAGCACGTAGTGCATATTAACAATTGAGAAATACTTAAGAGGAATCAATTTTACTATTTAGGATGAGTCATTCATCAAGATGGTGAAATTAGTGATGATGTGGTTTATGGAATCAAATCAGAATGGTCAAAGTAGATCACTGCTTATGTAGTACTGTGTGATCATATAATACATATGAAATTGAAGCAAAAGTTTTTGTAGGATAGTTATATGACCAATAATGCCTTCACATTGAGCATGCTGAACAATTAAGAAACATGTGCAAAAAGTGAGGATAATAGAATTTAGAAGGTTCTGATGGACATGTTATTATAAACTAAGAGATAGATAAGAAATGAATCCACTTGTGATAAGTTAGAGATTGCTTCTATTGAGGATAAAATGAGAGAAAATTGATTATTGAGATATTTTTTTATGTGCAAATGATGTTACTAAATTCGCCAGTTAGGAAAAGTGATGAGGTTGATTAGTGGATAAAGACAACTAGAGGTGAGCCTAACATAAATTTATTTGAAACAATCAAGAAGAATATGATAATGGTTAATTTAGTGCAGAAGATAACACTTTAAGAAAGTAAATGGAAGAACATAATTCATGTAGGCTTTGGCAAAAACTGGGGATTAGGATTTTGTTGTTTTTGTTAAAATATATTTGTGGAAGAAAAAGAGACAATACTCTAAAGTCTAAGCTATTACAAAGAACCTGAGGAGAATTGGGTAAGCCATTTGATTTGTGACGAGGTCGCACAATAAAGGCATCACCCTATGTTATAGAGAATTTTTTTCCCTCTATTGGGAGTAGTGAAAGGGGACCCACAATTTCAGGAAAAAGGACTCTAAACTGTTTGATTCGAAGATTATTTGTACATAATGGTACTTATAAATAACTTATGCCAGTGTTTATCTTAAAATCTTACTTCTTTACGTTTTGTAGCTCTTATGTTTGAACCGTAACAGAGATGAAGATTGTTATTGGTGTATTGATAATAATCCTATATATATATATATACATACATATATATATTTGTCTTATAGAACATTCAGTTAAATACAGAATGTTTTCCCATCCAGGTTTTCTATTGGGAACTAGACAAACTTTAATGGAGACAAAGGACGGAGGCAACACTTGGGTCCCTCGGTCCATACCCTCAGCCGAGGATGAAGATTTCAACTATAGGTTCAACTCAATAAGCTTCAAGGGAAATGAAGGCTGGATTGTTGGAAAACCTGCAATCTTGTTATATACATCAGATGCAGGTGAAAGCTGGGAAAGAATACCTCTGAGCGCTCAGCTTCCAGGAGATATCGTAAGAACATCTAGTTGATACTAGTGACGATTCTACTGCTCATTTTCCATTGCGTATTAGGCCCATAACTTCTGTCTGCCTTGCTCTTTATATAAGCTACTATAGCAGGACTATAATATCTGATTATTCGGGTCTGCCTTAAAATCATAAGAAAATTATTTAAAAGTGTATAAGAGTGACTATTAATGGAAGAAAGAAAAAAAGAGTAGATAGTGGAGGACTACATACAAAGCTGAGGTAGCTCTTAGCAATTTAGTCATGTACAATAACTAAAATATTCATTGCAGAACAGTTAACTTAGAAGGGAATATGAACCTTTACGTCATTCTTTTACTAAGGAGTCGGATTGAGGTCCTTATTTGTTCCAAAAGCCGAGACCATAGCAATCGGGAACATAGGATGCTATAACGAACCGTGACTCGGGTTCAATCGTCCCACATTCCTGTGGAGCTTGACCCAGTTCACCAACTCCAGTGACCCGATTTAGAATTCAAACTATTTAAAAATTAAAAAAAAATATTTTTGAAAAGAATAAACATCAAAAAATGCGAATTTAAGCAAATAAAGTATGCTACCTTATTGCAACATGATTCTCAAGGTTCTTTTACCATTACTGATATCAACTAGTATATTTCTTAAATTTGACTCTTGCAAAACCTCTAATTCCTACATTTATGAACCAAACCTAAAGCGTACCATGTACCCTGCCATACCATATAAGCCTATCCCCCGGTACCCGGTTCCTAATGGGTGGGGTACCATCCTCCTGTACCCGTCCCGTGAACCGAGACGAACTGGGTTCCATGCCACTTTGGTCGAGACTGAA